ATTCATCAGAGGCTTGACTATCCAAACTGAAACTGAGGCCACCAGGTATACGGAAAAATGTGAACTTAGGTTCTGCTTCTACACATGGATGAGAAACATCTACATTTTTATCAGTGAGTTAATTTGCAGAAAATTATCAAAGTTTCTGACAGCCTATTGCATTATTTTAATAATGCAAAAGGGTGCATCTAAAGATGGTTGTACCTATCAACGAGTACCATGAAACTAAGGATTTTTGCCTTTTCTGTTTCCTATATTCACATAACCAATCAGAAAAGCCTGTTTTTTTAAAGGCTAGGACTAGAAATGCCACTATGCCCTGCTAATTTTTTTTTATATGTTCAACCAATAACCTGAGAAAATGCCTGCAATAAGCTAAATCAAAAAAGAGAGGACACAAAACTAAATATTACAACTATTTTGAGGAACGAAAACTTCCCCTTAAAAGGCTGGGAGTGTACCAGATGTGGTGGTTTACACCTGTAATCCCAGCACTTTGGGAGGTCGAGGAAGGAGGATCTCTTGAACCCAGGAGTTCGAGATCATCTGGGCAACAAAGCAAGACCCCCTATTCTCTAAAAGATAATGTAAAAATTAGCAGGGTGTAGTGGTGCCTCTAGTCCTAGCTACTCCAATGCCTAAGGCAGGAGGGATCATCTGAGCCCAGGAGTTCAAGGCTACAGTGAGCTATCATCATGCCACCTGTATGCGCCCCAGAGGCTGGGTGACAGAGCAAAACCCTGTCTCAAAAAATAAAAATAAAAACGAAAATAAGGTTGAGAGTAAATATGACAGAACAGTGGAATTACAGATAGGTAATTATCACTTTATTTATTTATTTTTTTTTGAGACGGAGTTTCGCCCTTGTTACCCAGGCTGGAGTGCAATGGCACGATCTTGGCTCACCGCAACCCCGGCCTCCTGGGTTCAGGCAATTCTCCTGCCTCAGCCTCCTGAGTAGCTGGGATTATAGGCATGCGCCACCATGCCCAGCTAATTTTTTGTATTTTTAGTAGAGACGGGGTTTCACCATGTTGACCAGGATGGTCTCCATCTCTTGACCTTGTGATCTACCCGCCTCGGCCTCCCAAAGTGCTGGGATTACAGGCTTGAGCCACCGTGCCCGGCCTCACTTTATTCTTTTACCTGTTTTCTAAATGTAACAGATAGAACATATACCACTTTTACAATCAGAAAAAATAAATAAAAAATTCACAAAATATGCTAAGAAACAAATATAAAACACCATTCTTTAGCTTGGTAATATTTTTTAAAGTGACAAAAACAGGATCTTTCTCCTGAACCTCTCTAGGTCCTCAAAGCCACAGTCACACACAAGACAATACAGAACTACACCAGCATACTGCACTACACTGGTATCAGCAAACTTTTAAAAAGTAACAGTTTTTCACCTTTTCAACAGGCAAGAACTGGGAAGTTCAAAGTAAAGAGATCAGAATTAATAATTCCTCTGCAGAACACATTAGTATTTTTTGATACATACATAATTTAAGGATTCACTTAGCAATATTACAATCTTACATCTTATCGTGAATCAAGATACAGAAACTAGACTTAAAATAGGACAATGCAGCCAGGCTCAGTGGCCCACTCCTGTAACCCCAGCACTTTGCGAGGCCAAGGTGGGAGGATCACTTTAGCCCAAAAATAGGCAAGATAGTGAGACCATGTCACTACAAAAAATTTCAAAAATTAGCCAGGCATGGTAGCGTGTCCTTGTCGTCTCAGCTACTCAAGATAAAAACATTATTATTTAAAATAAATGTATATATAAATATTAAATATATGTGTGTGTGTGTGTGTGTGTGTGTGTACATATATAAATGCAGAAGCCGGCCAGACGTGATGGCTCTGCCTGTATTCCCAGCACTTTGGGAGACCAAGGCAGTTGGATCACCTGAGGTCAGGAGTTTGAGACTAGCCTGGCCAACATAGTGAAACGCCGTCTCTACTAAAAATACAAAAATTAGCCAGGCTTGGTGGTAGCACTTGTAATCCCAGCTACTAGGGAGGTTGTAGTGAGCCTAGATCATGCCACTGCACTCCAGTCTGGGCAAAAAGAGCAAAACTCAATCAGTCTGGGCAACAAGAGCAAAACTCAATCTCTAAATAAATAAATAAAATACAGAAGCTATTGTTTTATTTTTTTCAAAGAGATGGGGTCTTGCTATGTTGACTAGGCTGGTTGCAAACTCCTGGCCTCAAAGCAATCCTCCCATCTTGGCCTCCCAAAGTGCAGCGATTATAGGCGTAAACCACCGATATCTGGCCAGAAGCTGTAGCTTTCTAACTCGGGCAGCATCATCACTCTCGTAACTTCCCCTTACAAGTAATTACTACATAATTTCTGTCAATCAATAGTTCAGATGATGTTAACTTTGATACACTGTGTTGGGCTTTTTATTTTTAATTACAGTTAACTACAAGCTAACTTCCAGTATCATTTAAAGTTACTTGAACTTTCAGGAGAACAGCAGCTTATAGGAATTAAATTTAAAACTTCTCCATAGTAGGTTGGCAAACTGACACATCAGGTAACCGGTATCTCCTTATAATTTAAAATGGTAAAGTCTGAAAAAAACACTGACTCAGGAAGGCATGAATCTTATCTGAGCTTTATAAAGAAAAAAGCAGCACACTAAGGTAAAACATTAACTGATAAATTCCAACAGCTGAATGGGGCAGACACTTTAAAAGTGATGTTATTTTTGCTGCCACTCACAAAGCCAGACAGAAAAATGTAAAAATTATCAAACTTCCAAACCACCTTTTTCCCTGTTCATGCACATATCTCCCTTGTGTTGATACTTCCTTTGATGAGTTGCCATAAATCTTGATCTTGTGACTAAAGTGTTTTTATTAGTCAAGGAAAACTGATTATCCCAAAATTAAAGTGCAAAAGAATAGCATGCCTGAGTAATAAAACATTCAAAACAAATAACTCCTAAATCATTACTTCAATTCTCCGCACAAATGCAGAAAGTTAAATATTTTTTCTCTCCCATTTTCTTCCAAACATTTTTGGGGGTGGTGGAAAATGCCTCCCAATATAGTAAATATAGGAAAGTGCTGGTAGCATACTTGTATCTTCCTTGCCCCTCTGATACTTTCATCAGTCACAAAAGACTAAGGAAATGAAAAACAGCAATTTATTTACAATAAATCTTAAGTAAAAAGACCAATATACTACATGCTATGGAACCCAACCACGCATTGGTAAATCTCTTTAAGGAACAGACTGGAAATACATTTATCACAGTCCAAAGTCCATTCATTAACTTCAGATCCTTTTTCAGACTGCCAACTTTCAGCCACTTAAAACTTAAATATGCTTGCTTTCCTAAAATAATTCTGTCCTCTTGACAAAGGAAATCTAAGAAACTTTGAAAGAGAAAATACTTTTATCTTTATGAATGAATCATAAACAATTGTTTTATAAATTGTAAATAAGCTGAATTAAGAGGAAATTAAACATGAGCCAATGTAAATACTTTTACTCTTCCTATACCTTGAAATACTACAGAAGCTTGTGTTTGAAAACTTTCAGTGGTAGAACAGTTCGAAAATAAAACCTCCATCCGTGCATGGTGGGTCATGCCTATAATCCCAGCACTTTGGGAAGTGGAGGCGGGCGGTTCATCTGAGGTCAAGAGTTCGAGACCAGTCTGGTCAACGTGGTGAAACCCCATCTCTCCTAATAATACAAAATATTAGCCGGGCCTGCTTGTGCATGCCTGTAATCCAGCTACCTGGGAGGCTGAGGCAGGAGAATCGCTTGAACCCGGCAGGTGGAGGTTGCAGTGAGCCGAGATTGCGCCTCTGCACTCCAGCCTGGGCGACAAAAGCAAAATTCCGTCTCCAAAAAAAAGGAAAGAAAATAAAATCTCCTCCGGTAGAAAACAAGCTGATGAACCAACAAGTTTCAACGTTCAAAGTGAGAAGGGCTTCTTTCAGCGTTATTCTAGTCCATGGAGCTCAGCTGTAATGTAGAATGCTCACAGTAACCGGGAGCGGTTGCTTATAGCAGCCAATTGACAGCCCTTCTCCCTCAGCTGAGCAAAAACCCGCCCCCTAAATAGTAGTTTTTAAAATGTCAATTATCTAAAAAGAAATTTAAAAAAAAGCCAACAAACTGTAGTTACTATCTAACAAGGCTACCCTAAAATTCAGCGCCATGATGTTCAGTTCAGTTACTGAAAATTTATCAGGTTTTTAAAAAAAAAATGTTTCTAAAATTCTTTTGCATTAGACCTTAGGCCAGCTAAAAACAAGTTTGAAAACCTAGGAGAATAAACCAAATACATTTAAAGTTTTTTTAAACAGCCAAAGAAATAGACGAAAGATAAGCTCAGTTTTCGGAGAATGCGATGAACAAGAGGGAAAAACTTGAAACGGAAACCAGCGCACGGCAAAGTTAAGCAAAGTGAGCGCTTAAGGACTCCGGACGCTTCGGAAACCTTAGGTGCTCCCTGGCCACCGCACTTCCTGCCCCGGGCGGCTCTGGGCTCCGGGTGGCCGCTCGCTCACATACCAGTGGGGTGTGCAGGGCCTGTACACGAAGCGCAGAGGGGGAGGGAAGAGGCTGGAGTTGCTCTGCCTCGCTCCTGACCGCTGTCCACACCCGGGCAAGAAGCTATGCAGATCGCCCCCAGGAAGGGCCTGGCCAAGCGTCTGATTCCTAGAGTTGGCTTTCCCCACATCTCTGCCCGATGTCGCCCAGCTTTCAATAACAAGGAGAAAAAGCCAAGTCCAGAAAGAAGCCCTGACCGAAGCCCTGTCCCTGCCACGCCGGGCGACAGATGTGGGGCGACCGCTCACGCTCCGCTCCATTGTTCCCCGTTAAGAACTCCTACCGCCCCCCGACCCGGCGCCCCTCCCCCACCACGGCTGGCGGAGGGAAACACAGGCCCGGAGGCCACCGCAATGGTGGAGACCCTGCCTTTCCCGGGTCCCGCCTCGACTCGCAGACCCTCACTCACCCATCAAAATGCGCATCTGCTTCTTGCCAAAGAGGCGGGAGAAAAGGGAGGAGATAGTGAGGCCCATGGTGGTAGTGGCACTTGCGATGGGCAGAAGCAAAAGGGGTTTGGGACGGCCCCGTGCTTCCTCCTTTCGCGCTCCCAGCAAAATAAACCAGAGGGAAGAGAAAGCGGAGGAAGAAACAGCCTGGAACGTCTCGCTGGCCGCTGTGCCGATGAAGCTCCTGGACAGGAGTTAGCCGGTAGACGACCTGCTAGGCGACTGGCGCGGCAGCTCCGGCTCTAGCCTTTAGGCTTCGGCTGTGCCACGTCACGCGGCGGCCGCGGCGACTTTAGCCGCGGCCCAGCCCCTCCAACGCGGACAGAATCGCGTCACCCTTGCCCCATCCCCCTGCGCTTCCGGTGCTGTCCGAGCCACTGCGCTTGCGCGCGCAGGGGATTGGCCGGTTTCGTTGACGTGCTTCTCTCGTCGCCGCCACCGCCCGGACGTGGCTCTAAAAGCCGAGAGGCGCCAGCTGACACATGCGTACTGGAAGACGGACAAAGCCCCACAATACCTCGCTTCCTCGCTTCCAGAGTATGGGCGAGACGCTTCCGCCAGGATGCAGCATTGTCGAGGTGACAGTTCTTGTTTCCGGAAAGGCAAGCTGAGCATTGTGGGTCAGGTGAGGAACCGCGCCCTCTTCTATTACGGTGCGCGCGTTGGGGATTCCCTGATGCCCTGAACTTACACGTCTCACACATCGCACCAGACACTTGCCTTAGTTGGCGCGTGAAGACCGAGCAGTACTTTTGCGGAGAAAAGTGGTTAAAAGCCGACGCTTGGGCGGAGAAGCTGTGGCACCCCAGTAAGCAGCTAGGGCTAGAGGCTTCAACCACTCTGCCAGGTCAGACTGAAGATCCCTAATTCTGTCTCGGCGAGAGCGCTCCAACACGTTCATCGGCTGTTGCTTTTTCAAGAGAAAGCAACGAGGAAGTCTTTTCTTGTGCTTATTCTCCTAGAAGCATGAAAGATTAACACCTTATGTTGAGGAAGTGGAAAGCCTCTTCACTTTAAAAGTATTTGTGATCAGGCCGGGAGCGGTGGCTCACGCCTGTAATCCCAGCACTTTACGAGGCCGAGGTCTGAGGTCAGGAGTTCGAAACCAGCCTGGCCACCATGGTGAAACCCCATCTTTACTTAAAATATAAAAATTAGGGCCTGCGCCTGTAATCCCACCACTTTGGGAGGCCGAGGTGGGTGGATCACCTGAGGTCGGTAGTTTGAGACCAGCCTGGCCAACATGGTGAAACCCATTCTCTACTAAGAATACAAAAAGCCGTGCATGTTAGCAGGCTCCTGCAATTCCAGCTACTTGGGAGGCTGAGGCAGAACAATGGCTTGAACCAGGGAGGTGGAGCTTGCAGTGAGGCGAGGTTGTGCCACTGCACTTTAGCCTTGGCAACAGAGCAAAACTCTGCCCCGGGGGAGGGGGGGGAGGGAAATTAGCCTGGCGTGGTGGCCGGCACCTGTAATCCCAGCTACTCGGGAAGCTGAGGCAGTAGAATCGCTTGAACGAAGGAGGCGGAGGTTGCGGTGACCCGAGATCTCGCCACTTCACTCCAGCTTAGGCGACAAGAACCAGACTCCGTCTCAAAAAAGTATATATAATCTCATAGCTTTTCTGATTACAAAATAAGGTATGTATCTTGTAAAAAATGAAAAAGTGTTAAAAAGCAAGTTCCTCATAATTTTCTCCACCTCCAACATACCTCTTCCATCATATTGTTGCTGCAGGCCAACCCCTGCTCTTACCCAGTTAAGCCATGTTCACCCACCTTCAGATCGGTTTAAAGGTATTTTCTCTAGGAAAATACTTTGTCGACTTCTTGAAGAGAGAAATCTATTACTCAGCTCAAAGCATCATAACCTCCCTTTGTGGTTATTATTTCACATTTAATATTACTATTGACGGCCCGCTCCCTTCCCCACTTGTCAGAAAACACCAGGAGGGCAGAAAACTAGTCCATTTTTATAGTATATTGTATTTCCTGAACTTGGCACACCGCCAATACTCAATAAATATGGTTGAGTGATAGGATAGCTGAACAAACTGGTGTATCCATGCTACAGAATAGGGAGAGCTGGGCGCAGTGGCTCACGCCTCTCCCGCCTGTAATCCCAGCACTTTGGGAGGCCGAGGTGGGCAGATCACCTGAAGTCGAGAGTTCCAGACCAGCTTGACCAACATGGAGAAACCTGGTCGGTACTAAAAATTCAAAATTAGCTGGGCACGGTGGCGCATGTCTGTAATCCTAGCTACTTGGGAGGTTGAAGCTAGAGAATCACTTGAACCCGGAAGGCAAAGGTTGCGGTGAGCCGAGATCATGCCATTGCATTCCAGCCTGGACAACAAGAGTGAAACTCCCTCACATGCACACAAAAAAGATTAAGGAGTCAGAAGAATTATGTAGAAAGACACACTCTTATGAAAAGCTCTCCGAGGTACATTTAGTGGGAAAATGCCAAATAGTTTAAGTGCTGTAAGATAACAGAAAAGTATGTACCTCCCCTGCGTTTGTGTGTGTGTGTAAATGCAGAACAAGAACTTGTAGAATCCACTTGCAATAGTGATATGGGTTACTTTTGCACCAACCTCATCATTAGCAGTTACCTGATTTACTTGTGTGGAGGGAGTAGGGGGCCAGCTCTCATCTCATCTCAAGGAGTGAGAGAACCTGGTTTTGGATTGGTAATCTAAAGGAGAGCTTATTTGTACTGTGTCTGCTTGAGGCCGGGCGCGGTGACTCAAGCCTGTAATCCCAGCACTGGGGAGGCCGAGGCGGGTGGATCACGAGGTCAAGAGATCAAAACCATTCTGGCCAACATGATGAAACTGCTTCTCTACTAAAAATGCAAAAATCAGCTGGATGTGGTGGCATGTGCCTGTAGTCCCAGCTACTCAGGAGGCTGAAGCAGGAGAACTGCTTGAACCCAGGAGGTGGAGGCTGCAGTGAGCCAAGATCACGCCACTGCACTCCAGCCTGGTAACAGAGCAAGACTCTCTCACACACACACACCAAAGTCTGCTTGAGATATAATTTACTGCAATAAAATCCAATTTAAATATACAGGTTGATTATTATTTTTTTTCTAGATCAATAGGCTCACTGCAACCTCCACCTCCTGGGTTCAAATCATTCTTCTGCCTCAGCCTCCTAAATATGGCTATTTTTGTATTTTTAGTAGACATGGGGTTTCACCATGTTGGCCAGGCTGGTCTCAAACTCCTGACTTCACGTTATCCACGAGCCTTGGCCCCCTCAAAATGCTGGGATTACAGGCATGAGCCACCAAGCCTGGCAATTTGATGAATTTTAACAAATATATACAGTAGTATAGCTATCATTATAATTATGATATCAAACAATTCTATTACCCACAAAAGTTCCCTCATGCTCCCCTCTCACCTCCAGCTCCTGGCCCATCACTGAGCTGCTGTCACCATAGCTTTTTTCCTTTCTACAAGCTCATATATGTAGAATCATTCAGTATGTCTGGCTTTTTCCTCCTAGCATAATGATTTTGAGATTCATCCATGTTATTGTGTGTATCAGAAGTTTGCTCTTTTTTATTGCTGAGTACTCTTTGATTGTATACCACAGTTTGTTTACCCATTCACCAGTTGGTGGACTTTGTGTTGTTTAAAGTTTTGGGCTATTATGAATAAAGTTTCTATGAACATTTAAGCACATGTATTTTTGTGTCTGTGTTCATTTTATAAGATGACTTTATTCATTCATTACTGCACTTGCATAATTAAAAAAATAATCTTTGATGAATTAACCCGCTGGGTGCAGTGGCTCACACCTGTAATCCCAGCACTTTGGGAGGCCACAGTGGGTGGATCATGAGGTCAGGAGTTCAAGACCAGCCTGGCTAAACTGGTGAAACCCTGTCTTCACTAAAAATAAAAAAATTAGCTGGGTATGATGGTGCGTTTCTGTAATCCCAGCTACTTGGGAGGCTGAGGCAGGAGAATTGCTTGAACTGGGATCTGGGAGGTGGAGGTTGCAATGAGCAGAGATCAGGCCACTGCACTCTAGTGTGGGCTACAGAATGAGACTCCATCTCAAAAAAAAAAAAAAAGAATTAACCACTGTTAGCTTGACATTCTTTCAGATTTTACTTTTTTTTTTTTTTTTTTTGAGTTGGAGTTTCACGCTTCTTGCCCAGGCTGGAGTGCAATGGTCCATCTCAGATCACCTCAATCTCCACCTCCCAGGTTCAAGCAATTCTCCTGCCTCAGCCTCCCAAGTAGCTGGGACTACAGGCAAACGCCACCATGCCTGGCTAATTTTTGTATTTTTAGTAGAGATGGGGTTTCACCTTGTTGACCAGGCTGGTCTTGACCCCCTGACCTCAGGTGATACTCCTGCCTCAGCTTCCCAAAGTGCTGAGATTACAGGCATGAACCACTATTCCCAGCCAGAATTTTTTTTTTTTTTTATAGACGAGGTTTCACTGTGTTGGTCAGGCTGATCTTGAACTCCCGACCTCAGGTGATCCGCCCGCCTTGGCCTCCAAAGTGCTTGGATTACAGGCATGAGCCACCACACCTGGCGAATTTTTTTTTTTTTTTTAAGACAGAGTTTCACTCTTGTTGCCCAGGCTGGAGTACAATGGTGTAATCTTGGCTCACCACAACCTCTGCCTCCCAGGTTCAAGTGATTCACCTGCCTCAGCCTCCTGAGTAGCTAGAATCACAGGCAGGCACCACTACACCCAGCTAATTCTGTATTTTTAGTAGAGACGGGGTTTCTCCACGTTAGTCAAGCTGGCCTTGAACTCCCCGACCTCAGGTGATCCTCCTACCTCGACCTCCCAAAGTGCTGGGATTATAGGAGTGAGCCACTGTGCCCAGCCCAGAAATATTTTTTAATGTATCATAATTACTTAAATATCTTCCAAGCTACAAAACATAGAAATGAGAATTAATTTACATTTTTTTCCCTCTAAAAATTAGATTTACTGATTCATGTAATACTTCCTTCATGGTAAATGGTAGTTGATAGTGTTAATGAAATAATCAGTTAATGTTAAATTCATGTATCTATATGGTTCTCGGATTTTAACAGAATTCTCAAACTTAAGCCTGAGGGCTTGTTAAAACTGGAATGCTAAAAGCTGGACATGGTGGCCCACGCCTGTAGTCCCAGCTACTTAAGAGGGTCATTGGAGCCCAGCCTGGACAACAAAGTAAATCTCACTCTGTCACCCAGGCTGGAGTGCAGTGGTGTGCTCATGGCTCACTGCAACCTCAAACTCCGGGGCTCAAGTGATCCTTTTCCCTTAGTCTCCTGAGCAGCTGGGACTATAGGCATGTGCCCCCACACCTGGCTAA